GCTGAAGATATTTCTTCACACATCTAAGTGGATTCAACAGCTGTGAACTGATGGAGGAGTTTCTCTAATATTTAGCATCAGAAATGAATGTAAATATTAAGGATGCTCATTGCTCATCAGAGACATGATCTATTTTGCCTTTGTGCTCTTCATCTAATCACTTAACCTCAGGTTACTTCATTGTCTCTTCATGAAATAAATGCATTAAATGCTCAATCTCAAGCACTAATGACTAATGTACAGAAGTTCTAAGCGGCCATGCATTATTATTTTTTTCCTTCTTGTTTTCTCGTTATAACGACTTTTCTCGTTATATCTCTAAGTGGATTCATCAGCTGTGAACTGACGAAGGAGTTTCTCTAATATTTAGCATCAGAAATGAATGTAAATATTAAGGATGCTCATTGCTCATCAGAGACATGATCTATTTTGTCTTTGTGCTCTTCATCTAAACACTTAACCTCAGGTTACTTCATTGTCTCTTCATGAAATAAAAGCATTAAATGCTCAATCTCAAGCACTAATGACTAATGAGATCTGGTTGATGAATTAATAGAAAGCAGCAGGTTCAGTCAGAAGTCTAAATGCAGCGACCAGAGCTTTACCTTATAAACTACTTTGTTTGAACTCTTACCTGTTTTTACCAAAAAAAGGACAGCAATTGTTTATAACAAGGAACACAGCGCTTTGCAGCAAAGATATTTGTTATAAAAAATGGATTAAAAATATAAACGAGGGCAATAAGAGCAAGTAATATTAGCAGTGGCACATTTTAACATTTCAAATGTTGATGAAAATAATATAAAGCTGTAGCTGATGTACGAGTGCAGTTGTAATGAATTCCTGAACAATGTTTATTAATAAATTAACTGAATGATAAACCAGTGAATATTTCCACCATCAATCCACAAATGTTAACAAAACTCTTCACTGAGTGACACAACAGAGAAATAATTCACTAGAATAACTCTAGCTGACACTGAACACAAGAATAAATAGAGTTTATAAACATAAAGTACACTGACCGCTGTGATAGACGAGACAAAGCAGCAGCAGCAGCAGATGGGGCACGCTGGTAAACCACATCCCCATATTCGAGAATCTGTAAAAAAGCAGCGGGCACTAGTTTTTTCCTCACCTTAAATGGGAAACATGACTTATTTCTAAAGAAAAACCCTAACTTCTGCTTTAATTTTTTACTCAGATACTTAATATGTGGACCAAAACGTAATTTGTTATCAATGATAATACCCAGATATTTGTACTCTGACACTGAGGTAATTTGGCTCTCCTGAGAAGTTTGAAGGACAACAGAGTTCTCTAAAGAAGTTCTACAATTTGAAAATAGCATACATTTAGTTTTTTCAACATTTAAAACCAACTTCAAAGCATGAAACCTTTTCATGTTTTGGATAATATCTAAAACAGACTGTAATGCAGCCACAGATTGTTGTTTAGAGGGAGCTGAACAGTATACAATAGTACAATCTGCGTAAAAATGGAACCGTGCTTTATCAATATTAAAATCAAGGCAATTTATATATATACTGAATAATAATGGTCCCAACACAGATCCTTGCGGAACTCCCTTGACAACCTCTAAAAGGTCTGACTGAACACCTTCCACCTGGACACATTGGGTTCTACCCTTTAAATAAGCAGTGAACCATAAAATAACATGTTCTGATAGTCCTACCCATCTAAGCCTATCTAATAATATGTTGTGATCCACAGTATCGAAGGCCTTTGATAAGTCAATAAAAAGACATGCACAATGTTGTTTATTATCTAATGACTCCACGATATCATTTAAAACCTTTAAGGTGGCTGTAGTAGTACTATGTCCTTTACAGAAACCAGACTGATTATTAGACAAAATGGTATGACCATTTAAATACTGTGTCAACTGTTTACTAACTAGATGTTCCAAAGGTTTTGAGAGAATACAGAGGTCTATAATTATGCATTAAGGAAGGATCACCCCCTTTTGACAGAGGAACAACAAATAATACAGTCAGCTGAAGTTTATTCTGAACAAGATCTCTGATGATTTCAGTCTGATCTCAACAGTTTCAGCACGAGATGTAAACTAATTTAACATCTACATATTTATCATAATATTATCAATAAAGCATTATTTTTCTGAGCTTAGTAAAAGAAAATAGTAAAAATATTTAATTCATACAAAAATACAAACCAACAAATCAACACCAAGAAAAATGTTTCTTAAAAAAATAGTTTAATATATTCTCTTTCACATCAGATTTAAAAAGAACAATGCAAATCCCCAATTAAGCAAACAAAAGCAACATATAAATATAAACATATCTAGATAGAATTTTGTTTTACAAAACATACATATGTACAAGCACACTGTTGGTGTTTCACAGTTTGGCGCAGATATGCATGTTTACTGTTTATATTATAACATTCTAATTATATTTATATATGCTTTACTGTTTTTTTCTGTTAATGGATTAGAATAGAAACAATAATTCCTAGTTAATGAATAAGGATTGGTATAAGTGACCAGTCCAGATCTTTAAGGCAGCTTTACACAAATACTAAACGCAGATACAGTTAAACTGATTCCTGATGCAGGGCTCTGCTCCAAATGTGCTCACGTACTGAAAATTACAAATATAGTGCAGAAGTATGTTCCAGAATCCTCTGCAGATCTGTTGGCTCTGAAGGCAAATTACAAGTAAAGTAAAGAAGCAGAAGACAATTAAACAATTTTATTTTTTATTTTATTATATATATATTTTTTTTTTGCACTATATAATAGGCTATATAGATAAATTGTAAAAAGGTATAGGGGAAGTAGGGGGTTACTATTTGCCTCTCACTGTATGCCATGGAAGAAACAGTCAGTCAAACATAAGAGTAGGCTGCACAATTCTGGATAAATTGATCACAATTTTTTAAAAAAATGTTTTGGTATCAAATAGAGATCATGATCCTCCTACAGATAACTAAACAAAATAGCTTGTCTACTAGAGGTTCTGACAAAATGTTAATTGTTGCAGTCTATGTAATTTTTACATGAATTATTTATTGCAAAATCATGCACCTCTTTTGTGGCTAATATTAATTTCATAATGATCCTTACTCCGTGAAGCCAAGTAGCAGAAGTTACAGTAAGTGAAAATGTGCAAATACTACTGGCCCATTTTGGGGTGAACTAAATATGCAAGACTAGTCTTACATCACTGTTTATAACACAGGCCGTTCAACCTTTGCTGGGCCGCTTAAAAAAATGGGGGCATAAATTAAGAGTATACCCACTTCTCCAGGCACCACTACACCACTGCCTCAGCAAACATCATTATGGGCCCTCAGTGCTTCTGGGTCTCCTGTGCTCAGTCTCTCTTTTCCTCCTCGAGAGACACACGCAGTTAACCTCTGAGCAGACGCTTGTGTAACGTGACAGCAGTCAGAATCAGAGCCAGCAGAACCAAACCCACAGTCAGTGCAATCCAGTAGCCTACAGCTGGAAGAGAAAAGTAGTGACAGAGCACTGATTTTATTCTTTAATTCAGTTTAAGATATTTGTCAAGCTCTCAATGCCTCTGTTTTACTCACTATGATATTTAGTGTCATCAGTTTGGTCTTTATCAGTGTTCAGTTTCTCCTTTGATTCTGTTCAGAATATTGAAAGGTTATTCTCACAGTTTAATATGAATCTGCTGCTTTAAAGATAATATTGCTAAACATCACTGAGCTTCTCTCACCTCTGACTGTCACTGTGATCAAGGGTTCTGCTGAAGGCTCCAGAACTCTGTATGATCCTGTGTCTCTGGCTGTAAAGTTACTAATGATCAGGTTTCTATCTCTGATGGTGATTCGTTCTCTCTGAACTCCATCACTTCTGCTCCAGACCTTCATCCACTCTGTGCTTCTTCTGCTCTGATGCTGCACTTTATCAGCTTCTGACAACAGAACATCTAACTCCAGCTGCTCACCGATGCTCACAGAAACCTCATCTGAGGAGAAACACAGACAATCATTATTATGATGCTGTCACTCAATCAAGACCATAAGCACATATTTAGGATTGGAGGACCAAGTGTAATCATTCATTATGTAGATGAAATCAGCCATCAGAAAAACCCATATTGGTGACTAATATTCAGTCTCTGCTGGTTACATGAAATATCACACAATTACTAAAGGAAATCCAGAAAACACATGCTGATCAGTTTTGTCTTTACCATGAATATGAAGTTGGAAGCTCCTGA